CATCTAACATCAGCAACAATATCCCTAGTACCATGACCCCTTCTAAACCCAGCCTGGACTTCTGGTAGTTCTCTGTTAATGTGCTGTTCCAGTTGTTTTGGGTGGACAAAAAAAAAAAATTGAGACTGTAAACTACTTCGTTGTACATGGATCCATAATCACTACACTTGGTACCAGTAGCCACGAGATCAAGGATGTATTGTACCGGGAAAGTCTGTAGTCAACCAATGATGTCCGTCCGAGGACTAACGTGTGCTCTTCAGTTACTTGCTATGCATCTGAGAGCTACAAAATGAACAAGGATGACAGAAGAATTGATGTCTTTGAATTGTGGTATTGGAGAAGAGTACCGAAGATCCCATGGACTGTAAAAGGAACAAACAAGTCTGCCTTGGGTGTAACCAGGGTGCTCCTTAAGAGACAAGGATGATGAAATTTCATCTCACATTCCATGAACATTTTGTTAGGAGGGGCCAATCCTCAAAAAAAAAAAAATAAATCTGTCTCACAGATTTGCCATGTTGTCAAGAGGCTCCAGTCTTTAAGAAAAGACATCATGCTTGACAAAAGATAGGAAGGCTCTCACTGAGATAGGCCGAAATGGTGATAACAACCAGCTTGAACACACAAGAAATTGTAAGGATGGGGACTGAGTAAGGTTTAATCTGCTGTTTGTAGGATTGTTATATGTCATACTTGACTCAATGGCCCCTAAGAACAACACATTTATAATAAAATTGTTCCAATGTCCAGTAAAGATTTATGTGATTGACCCCCAGCTATTATTCCCTATAGTCCATTTGTATCACTCTGCTAGCCTTCAATATGGATTGAGGCTCAATGTCAAGAAGACAAAGATTCTCACCACTGGACCAATTGGCAGCATCAGGATGGATGGTGAAGAGATTGAGATTGTTCACAGCTTTAGTTTGCTTGACTCCACAATCAACACTCTTGGCACCAGCAGCCAGGAAATGAAAAGACGTATTTCCATGGGAAAGTCTGCTGTTAGGGACCTCTCTAAAGTACTCAAGAGCAGCGGTGTGTCTCTGGAGACAAAGGTGAGTCTGGTACAGGCCATGGTCTTTGCAATCATTTGTTATGCATCAGAGAGCTGGACAATGAGCAAGGAGGATAGAAGGAAAATTGATGCTTTTGAGCTTTGGTGTTGGAGAAGAGTGCTGAAGGTGCCATGGACTGCTAAGAGAACAAACAGATTCATCCTGGAGAGGGTTAAACCAGGATGCTCCTTGGAGGCAAGGATTCTGAGGCTTCGTCTGACATACTTTGGTCATGTTGTAAGGAGAGACTGCTCTTTGGAGAAGAACATCATGTTTGGGAGGGCAGACGCAGG